ATTATGGCTTTGAGCCCATTGCTCTCGACCCTGTGTTTTCTTTGTTTTTCAGGTGATTTCTTTCTGCAAAATTACTACTGGACTTTCTAATAGAATCTTCACTCAGATACCACTTTTTGTACATAGAAGATAAGTAATGTCCCACTTACAAGTCTGACGATACACCACACTCCACCTAACACATTATAAGACACAGAAACTGCCTAGCTTATACCCTAACCATGCTAGGTGATTCCCTATTTTAGCCTAGTCTTGGTGGTAACAGACGGAAAATCAATAAAATTCGTAACAAAATCATTATTGGGAGACTTTGGAAAAACACAAAGGAGAGAAAATTTTTGTAAAAGAAGCCAAAATGGACAAAATTGCCCTTATTTATTTTTGGATTTCCTAAGGAATCCTTTACATTTGCATGTCTTTGACATGAAAGTTGAGAGGTTTTTCTGTCTTTTTTGAAAAAGCTTTGACTTTTTCCAAAAGTGAATTTTTTTTTGTTGCTAAAACCTAAATTTACTTATCAGAGGTATTGTGGTTGTCAAAAGCACAGAATTGAATTAGTAAAATTTATAATTCGACTTGATTGATAAACTTAAAGGATAAAGACTTTGCATCAAGTTTCAGGAAACAAATGTGTAGTCTGGCGGAAAAAGAAAAGTACCAAGTGGGGAACTACTCTTAAATGATTATGTCGATAACCGTACCTGCAGAACACCAGCAGCATTTAAACTTGAAATTATGGCCTGGCTTCTCACTGTAGGTTTGATCACCTTCAAAATCATGGACATCAGTTGTGCAAATATCACCAGCTTTTTTCTTGGGGCAAACTCCATCAACATGGCATCCTAGAGCTTGAAGGGATTGAAAAGGCACAGTTATCTCATAATCTTCCATGAAATCCTACAAACATTGAGGGAGAGAAATTGAATGATGCTCAGTAGTAATTGTATAAGAATTAGTTCATTAACAAATGACAAACCCTTTTAAATTAAAACAAGCAGCCAATCTTGATTTATTAACAATCTTATCACTGTTATTGAACAAGTACAAGTTTGATCCAGAATAACAAGTAAAAAGAATATTTTGATGTAGGACAACTTAAATAATCAGCCTACAACTGCGTATATGGTGGGCTTTAAGGTTTGTCAACTTGTATTTTTAACTTTTGGCATTGTAGAGTTTCAGTAGGATTCAAAGGAATAGATTTTAAAGGGGGGGAAGGGCTGGTTCAAGAAAATAGGTTGCATGAAATCTGAAAGCAACTAAGTTATGGATTTGGGGCTGTGTTTGGACTTCGGAGAGCTAATAAATGGTAATATGGGCAATCTTTAGGGTTTTAGGGATTTAGTTGGGGGAAGGAAGGGAAGAATTGAACTGTAAAGAAAATAAGCAAGCATTTTTAGTCATTTATTCAATTTCAACATAAAACTTGAGATTTGAAATTCTTGAGTAGTCTACAACCCTTGGAATCATGATACCAAATGTAAAGTGGTCCTTTAAAATTCATAAGGGAGCTACTTGTCTATGTATCGTTCCAAATCCAGAATTCGCACGACCTAAAAATAGGCAGTATGCATGTTTGGATTTACCTTCACATTTCACACAAATGACCTGAAAAACAAGTATTCCAATGTAAAACACAACCCAAATAAGCAAACCTATGAAGCATATCGACAACACATTGCATACATACATAGGAATGAATAACAATACCACATCACAATTTGTGGCAAATCTGGTAAAGCATATTGAGGCTTTCCTCCCTCTCTTTTTCAACAATATATGTCAACATTAGTTCTTTTAAGTTTATTTTTGTGCCCATTCATGATGTCATATTCAGAAAATATGGTTTTGTTTGTGTCATATCTCGGGATCGATTCCGCCGTAGCACGATATTGTCCACTTCAGGCCCCCCTCTCTGCCCTCACGGTTTTGTTTCTGAGAACTCACGAGCAACTTCCTAGTGGGTCACCCATCTTGGGATTGCTCTAGCCCCAACTCGCTTAACTTCGGAGTTCCCATGAATCTGAAGCCAGTGAGCTCCCAAAAGGCCTTGTGCTAGATGGAGGCGGACATATACATATAAGGCACATCACCCCCTCTCCATTGGTCAATGTGGGATGTTACAATCCACCCCCTTAAGGGCCCGACGTCCTCGTCGGCACACTCGCACCACACGGCAGAATGGCTCTGATACCAAATTGTCACATCCCAGGATCGGCTCTGCCGTAGCACAATATTGTACGCTTTGAGCCTCCTCTCTGCCTCACGATTTTGTTTCTGGGAACTCACAAGCAACTTCCCAGTAGATCACCCATCCTGGGATTGCTCTAGCCCCAACTCGCTTAACTTCGGAGTTCCCATGACTCTGAAGCGAGTGAACTCCCAAAAGGCCTCATGCTAGATGGAGGCAGGCATGTACATATAAGGCACATCACCTCCTCTCCGTTGGTCAATGTAGGATGTTACAATCCATCTCCCTTAAGGGCCCGACGTCCTCGTCGGCACACTCGCACCACATCGCAGAGTGGCTCTGATACCAAATTGTTACATCCAGGGATTGGCTCTGCTTTGGGCCCCCCTCTTTGTCCTCACGGTTTTGTTTTTGGGAACTCACAAGCAACTTTCCAATAGGTCACTCATCTTGGGAGTTCTCATGACTCCGAAGTCAGTAAGCTCCCAAAAGGCATCGTGCTAGATGGAGGCGGACATGTACATATAAGGCACATCATCCCCTCTCTGTTGGTTGATGTAGGATGTTATAGTTTGAGTTTGTTTAGGTTGCAGAAGGGATTCGAAGAGAGACGAAGTTGGGGTTTGGATTTGGGTAGAGAAGAAAACAGGGAGGAAGAGGAAGAACTGGGTTTTGACGGCAAAGTTGTGAGTTTTGTAGGTTGTTCTTGATTTTCTTCTTTGTGAGAAGAGGCGTAGTTAGCTGGATGGAGAGAGAGAGAGAGAGAGAGAGAGAGAGAGTGGAGAGAGCTGAGAGAGAAACCAAAAACTGACCAAAAGTGTTATCTGGCCGATAAGTGGGCAATAAGTATGTATTTATAGGTGGTATTTGTAAAATTTGTGGGGATAGGTGGTATTTCCAGTTAAAATTAAAAAAATGGTGGCATTTAAAGCAATTTCCCTTATTTTCTTTAGGGTGAATAAAAGGCACGTAATATGATTGCCTTAGAATGAGCGGCATTGTGTGTAATTTTGATGTTTTTTAATTACATTATTGTAAAATTAGGTACTACTTTTTGGTCTTTGGCCTTATGCTAATTATGTGAAATTGTATTCCTATTTTTCAAGTTAGTAAACTATATAGTGTTTTCAAATGAAAGCCCCTTTATTTTAAAGGGTCTTTGGCCTTGTGCAGGCATCATGTTTGTCATGTTTTATAAGATTAGGGGTAAAAGCGTAAAAATACAAGAAGAGACTATCCAAGTTGAAGGTTTTTGAGGTTATCAAAATTTTTTTGTTTTGTTTTTGTTTTTTGTTGGTGAATGTTTTTTAGGCTAATTGAATTGGACCCCACGAAAGGAATAACCGACTTTAATTGCCTACTCCTTTTTTCCTTTTCACTTTTTTCATTTTGGTGATGAAGAGGAAAAGATGTTTTAGGAATATGTTTCCTCAAAGTATCAAGAAACTTGTGGTTTGGTTTATAAAGCTATGCGTTTTTAATTGGTAAGTATGATTTCTTTTTGGTTAAGTTAGGCACATCCAATTCACAACTAGACATAGATAGCGGTAATTCAAGATTCTTCCAAACTCGAAAAAAAAAATAAAAATAAATCAGATATTTTGATATTGTCAAGCTGAAAACACATAATTATTATAAATAAATAAATAAAATTCTCATGCCCTCCAAATGTCACCACTATTAAAGTCTTAATTGGGTTTTTGATTTATTGGTCTTGGAAAAAAGTTGGTCAACTCCCCACACTCTTTACTTCACAATTAAGAAAGTCACAAAAAGGACAAAACAAAACATGCACACGGTGCTTTGAATTTGATAATGCAAACTTTACTGGCAGCAGCATCTATATTTTTAGGCCACTCGACCAAGCTAGTTACAATAAATCAATTGTTGCAAGATTCATAAGGCGATTTCGAATTTGAGACCATACGTATTCAAGTCAGTGTTTTTTTCCACTAAGCTAAACCTCGTTGTCAATGCTCATATATTAATAATTGAACTCTTGTTGTAATTATGGGTTTTAGTGAATTGCCACCATAGCTAGACTCAAAATTTTGTGCAGTTCATATGACATAAAGCTTCACTAATAATGTTTCCATGCCATATAGTACTATTCATTGTGAACTTGATAGTATAAATGAAGTTACACTAGTGGCAAAGTTGTTTTTATATTAACTTTGTAATTCACTAATTTGAAAAATATGGCAAAGTTATAAATAAAAAATAAGTACACATTGGTAGTTTACTTGTTTCATCATTGGATGATAATAAGTGTAAAAACCTTTTTTTTTTTTAAACATAAAAAATCCTTTAATGTATAGATGTAACAACGAGACTCAAACTATTATCGTGAATACATGGATGAATATTTATATTAGATCATAAACTCCAACAAATGTAAAAAACCTTATAAAGAATCAATCTTTGTGAAGCTAGAGGCGATTCTCCATTGAACCAACATTTTTTTTTTTGGGGCTTGAATTTAAGGGACACTTGGTTTGAAGGAGCAATTTAGGATACAAACTTTTCTAGACTTGTACTAGTGTTCATGCACTATGTAAATTTATATTATATAGCTTAATTCATTTCGCCGGTTAATATTTATAAACTTAAGTATTTAATTATAGGACATTCCAACAAAAAAATATTAAATTATATTTTTTCTTTCTGGTTACAATTAAATTATATATTTTATCCAACAGAAAAAAAAAAAGTTGTATTTATTTATTTATCTCCTCCCATTATCTCTCTCTGTGTCTCTTTTATTTTCCCATTTTCCTGTAATTTTCTCTTCCCTCATATATATATACGACACTCTTTAGCTTCTTCTCAGTTATTTATTTCTTCTCCAATTCTCTGCTTCTTTTTCTCTCTCTCTGCGATCTCATCAAAACCCTAATCTTGATCGCAGAAAAGCTGAAATTTCATCTGATTACTCTAGAAAAATCAAAGTTTGACGATCCGATCATCGTGAAATTGCCTGAACCGAACCTTACTCAGTTCAATTTCCTATACACTTAATAGTTGCCTCAGAATTTTCGTTTCCCCAATTCAGTCTCTGCTCTTCGATCAATTCTTGGATTTTTGGGGATTGATCGGCTTTTATTTCAAAGAGGTTTTGATTCGTGCAATGCTTTCAGTTTCAATATGAAGTTAAAGAGGAGGAGGGCGGTTGAAGTGGTCAGTATATTTCTATCAATGGAACCGATTTTCATTGTTTTCTACATACATGCACATGTTATATATGTACATGAATAAAGTATTGTTTTTCTCTATATTTTAATTTTGACAAGTCGATGGTTTTGGGTTATGTTTTTTTTCCCATTTATTTTGATTTATTTCTCTTGGTTGTTTAAGTTATGATGCTAACTTAGTGAGTAGAACTCTTTTATGCAATTGCTTATTTGGCTGGTTTTGGGCATCAATTTGCTATGTTTTCTTTGGTTTTTAAATAGGTATAGATACAACTAAAAAATATAGGAATTTTTTTCTTTCTCATATTAAATTGTTTATACAATTTGGAGTACAAAAATGTAAAATATTCAGTACATTTATGTTACGCACGATAAAATTTTACTTTGGGAGTTGAGTCGCTGTGCTTACCTGAAGGAGTTAGATAGAAATGGTGAGTGTGTGAATGATCATAACTTTCACTATAAGCATCTAATTGAATATGGCGCTCTGAAGATTTTCAGTGATTCAACTTTGTTAACCTTATCATTTGTTGGGAGCAATAGGAGTGAACTGAAGCATTTCATGCTGAGGGTCATTAAGGTTGATCCAGTCGCCCTTTGGGAAACTTTTTCCACTGCCTCAATTTCTGACACTAGGTTCATTGTTGTTTATTTTCTGTACTTAGAATTGGACACTGTTACCAAAGTAAGAGGGGCTAAGGTGCGGTAAAACAAAGTATCTCTAGGATACAGTCTTGTTTGCACTACCTTGTATGTGCCTTTCTCACTGTTTGCACTACGTTGTATGTGCATTTCTCACTGTTTGCACTACATTGTATGTCCCTGCCTCATTATATTTGGAGAACTTATTGTTTACAAATGATTCATCCATTTCTGGTATTTTATGTGTATATGCTGGTTGGGTACTAATTTCATATACAGGAATTTGGCGATTCTGCAAGTACTGACAATTATTATTACTTTTTTTTTTGGCCTTGTTTTTTCTCAGCCTCCAAAAATTAGATCCTTCATCAATAGTGTCACTGCTGTTCCACTTGAGAATATAGAGGGACCTCTGAAAGGTTTTGTCTGGGAGTTTGATAAGGTGGTTTTTATAACCTTTACCTGTTACATTGATATGGTTATATATATGCAGTTTGACTTATGTGCTTTTATTTTGGGTGCAGGGAGATTTCCATCATTGGGTTGATCTTTTCAACCATTTCGATTCATTTTTTGAGAAGCACATAAAATCCAGGAAGGATTTGCAGGTTGAGGATAATTTTCTGGACTCTGATCCTCCTTTTCCAAGAGAAGCTGTTCTTCAAGTTCTCCGTGTCATAAGGATAATTTTGGAGAACTGCACAAATAAGCACTTCTATAGTTCTTATGAGGTAAAAATTTCACCACTCACCTTCTCAGTTTTTGTTGAGTAATTTTCAGTTGTTTAGGATTAGTTAGTCTGCTTTAGAATTTTTAAAACTTCTACATATTATTATACCATTATTGCTTTCTGGGGTTACTAAAGACAAACATCTGCCCACCTTTTATATTTGAGGTGAAGGCTTATTGAGTTGCGTTGCGATGATTGATCATCTTGCATTTCATTGCGTTATTCCTTCATCTTTTCTTTAGCCAATTCAATTAGTTTTAATTTCTTTCTTCTTTTTCCCATTCATTAGTTTTATGTCATCTTTGTTTCCATATGTTATTGCAGCAGCATCTTTCATCTCTGCTTGCTTGCACTGATGCGGATGTGGTTGAGGCTTGCCTGCAGACTTTAGCTGCTTTTTTAAAGAAAACAGTTGGAAAGTATTCCATTAGAGATGCTGCACTAAATTCAAAGTTATTTGCTCTTGCACAAGGTTGGGGGGGAAAAGAAGAGGGTCTTGGATTAATTGCTTGTGCAATACAGAATGGTTGTGGCCCTATTGCTTATGAGTTAGGTTGCACCCTTCATTTTGAGTTCTATGCATCGAATGATTCAACAGATGACATCCCTGCCACCCAAGGTTTACAAATCATTCATTTACCTAACATCAACACTCATCCAGAGGCAGATCTTGAGCTTTTGAGTAAATTAATTGCCGAGTACAATGTACCCTCTAGTTTAAGATTTTCTTTATTGACAAGATTGCGGTTTGCAAGGGCTTTTGGTTCTTTAGCTACCCGCCAGCAATATGCATGCATTCGCTTGTATGCCTTCATAGTTCTTGTTCAAGCAAATAGTGATGCTGACGACCTTGTTTCTTTCTTCAACACTGAACCTGAGTTTGTCAATGAGTTAGTGTCATTATTGAGCTTTGAAGATGTGGTTCTTGAGAAAATTCGAATTCTATGTCTTCTTTCATTGGTTGCTCTATGTCAAGATCGGTCCCGACAGCCTACTGTTTTGACTGCTGTCACGTCAGGTGGGCAACGTGGAATCCTATCCAGTCTCATGCAGAAGGCCATTGATTCTGTCATCAGTGATACATCAAAGTGGTCTGTTGTTTTTGCTGAGGCTCTATTATCTCTTGTCACAGTTTTGGTTTCATCATCATCAGGTTGTTCAGCCATGCGTGAAGCTGGTTTTATCCCCACCCTTCTGCCTTTGCTTAAAGATACAAACCCACAGCACCTTCATCTGGTCAGCACATCTGTGCATATTTTAGAAGCTTTTATGGATTACAGTAATCCAGCTGCTGCATTGTTTCGGGATTTGGGTGGTTTAGACGATACCATCTCTCGCCTTCATGTGGAAGTGTCTCATGTAGAAAATGGCTCAAAGCAACAAGATGAAGATTCTGAGATCATTGGGAGGAGTGCTCAAGTAGTTGCAGGGACTTCCACAGAGCTAGACAACATGCAGCCTTTGTATTCAGAACCACTAGTTTCCTATCACCGACGTTTGCTGATGAAAGCTTTACTGCGTGCTATATCCCTTGGAACTTATGCCCCAGGGAATACTGCCCGTGTTTATGGCTCAGAGGAGAGTCTATTGCCACAATGCTTATGCATAATATTTAAAAGGGCAAAAGATTTTGGTGGTGGTGTGTTTTCACTTGCAGCCACAGTCATGAGTGATTTAATTCACAAAGATCCTACCTGTTTTCCGGTCTTGGATGCAGCAGGCCTTCCTTCTGCTTTCTTGGATGCTATAATGGATGGTGTTCTTTGCTCTGCTGAAGCCATTACGTGCATACCACAGTGTCTAGATGCCCTTTGCATAAATACTAATAATGGTCTTGAGGCTGTGAAAGAGCGAAATGCTATGAGGTGCTTTGTGAAGATATTTACTTCAAGAACCTATCTGCGTGCCCTTACCAGTGATACACCCGGCTCCTTATCTAGTGGATTGGATGAATTAATGCGCCATGCTTCCTCATTGCGTGGGCCTGGAGTGGATATGCTGATTGAGATCTTAAATGCAATTTCAAAAATTGGACATGGGGTTGATGCTTCGTGCATGTCAACTGATCCTTTGTGCTCTTCTACTCCTGTTCCAATGGAAACTGATGGAGAAGAGAGGAACTTGGTCCTGTCTGATGGAGGGGAATCATCCAAAATGGATAGTTCAGAGCAGACTGCCGAACCATCCTCTGATTCTTTAACGGGGAATGTTGAATTATTCCTTCCTGATTGTGTCAGCAATGCTGCACGTCTTCTTGAAACAATACTTCAGAATGGTGACACATGCCGTATATTTGTGGAGAAGAAAGGAGTTGAAGCTGTCCTGCAGTTATTTACCTTGCCTTTATTGCCTCTTTCTGTTTCAGTTGGCCAGAGCATTTCTGTTGCATTTAAGAACTTCTCACCACAACATTCTGCTTCGTTGGCTCGGGCAGTGTGTTCATTCTTGAGAGAGCATCTGAAATCAACAAATGAACTCTTAGTTTCAGTTGGAGGGACTCAACTTGCTGTGGTGGAATCTGCAAAACAAACTAAGGTTTTGAAACATCTTTCCAGTCTTGAAGGTATTCTGTCTCTGTCTAATGTTCTGTTGAAAGGGACTACTACTGTGGTGTCTGAACTGGGTGCAGCAGATGCTGATGTATTGAAAGATCTTGGGAGTACATACAGAGAAATCATTTGGCAGATATCTCTGTGTAACGATGTCAAGTCAGATGAGAAGATCAGTGCTGAACAAGAACCAGAGAGTGCTGAGGCAGCACCATCTAATGCGTCTGGAAGAGAGAGTGATGATGATGCTAATATTCCAATGGTGAGATATATGAATCCAGTTTCTATTAGGAATCAGCCCTTGTGGGGCGGAGAACGCGAGTTTCTTTCAGTTGTTCGTTCTGGTGAAGGTTTGCACCGTCGTAGTCGACATGGGTTTACACGCATAAGGGGTGGAAGGACAGGCCGTCATTTGGAGGCTTTAAATGTTGATTCTGAATCTTCCTCAACAGTATCGGAGACATCTACTTCCCAGGATTTAAAAAAGAAAAGTCCTGATGTTCTTGTGATTGAAATTCTCAACAAGCTGGCTTCCACACTACGCTCCTTCTTCACGGCTCTTGTCAAGGGGTTCACATCACCAAATCGGCGTAGAGTTGACTCAGGGTCATTGACTTTGGCTTCAAAGACTCTTGGAACTGCCCTAGCTAAAGTGTTTCTTGAGTCTCTTAGTTTCTCTGGGCATTCTACATCAGCTGGTCTTGATACTTCACTTTCAGTCAAGTGTCGATATCTGGGAAAAGTTGTGGATGATATGGTGTCGCTTACATTTGACAGCAGGCGGCGTACTTGTTATACCACAACAGTGAATAATTTCTATGTCCATGGTACCTTTAAGGAGCTGCTGACGACATTTGAAGCTACTAGTCAGTTGTTATGGACCCTACCATACTGTGTGCCAACATCAGGTATTGATCATGAAAAGACAGCTGAAGGAAGTAAACTGTCCCACAGTCCATGGCTGCTTGATACTTTACAGAGCTATTGCCGTGTGCTCGAGTATTTTGTTAATTCTTCTTTACTCTTGTCGACAACCTCTGCATCCCAGGCGCAGTTGCTTGTTCAGCCAGTTGCAGTTGGTCTGTCAATTGGGCTTTTTCCTGTGCCAAGGGACCCTGAAGTTTTTGTTCGTATGCTTCAATCTCAAGTTCTTGATGTGATACTTCCTGTCTGGAACCACCCCATGTTTCCAAATTGTAGTCCAGGTTTCATTGCTTCTATTGTCTCGCTTGTTATGCATGTATATTCTGGTGTTGGAGACGTGAAGCAGAATCGCAGTGGCATTTCCGGAAGTACAAACCAACGATTCATGCCACCACCACTTGATGAAAGTACTATTACTACCATTGTTGAGATGGGTTTTTCAAGGGCCAGAGCAGAGGATGCGCTTAGGCGGGTGGAAACAAATAGCGTTGAAATGGCCATGGAATGGCTCTTTAGTCATCCCGAGGATCCTGTGCAGGAGGATGATGAACTGGCTCGGGCACTTGCTCTTTCACTAGGAAATTCATCAGACGCATCCAAAGCTGATAGTGTTGACAAGTCTGTGGATGTGCTGGCAGAAGAGGGTTGTGTGAAAGCTCCCCCTGTTGACGATATCCTTGCGGCGTCGGTTAAGCTGTTTCAGAGTAGTGATACCATGGCATTCCCATTGACAGATTTGCTTGTGACACTTGGCAATCGGAACAAAGGTGAAGACCGACCAAGAGTTGTATCTTATCTAATTCAGCAGCTAAAGAACTGTCCATTAGATTTTTCTAAGGATACCAGTGCATTGAGTATGGTATCACATGTTATAGCATTGCTTCTTTCTGAGGATGGAAGCACAAGGGAAACTGCTGCACAACATGGTATTGTGTCTGCTGCAATAGATATCTTGATGAACTTTAAGGCCAAAGATGAGTCGGGCAATGAGCCTATTGTCCCAAAATGTATCAGTGCTCTACTGCTTATCTTGGATAATATGTTGCAATCAAGGCCCAAAATTTCTGAAAACGTTGAAGATACTCAGACAGGGTCTCTGCCTGAATCTGGAGAGCATGCGTCCTTGTCAATCCCTGCATCAGATACAGAGAAAAAACAGGCTACAGATACCCATGAAAAAGATTCTTCCACGGCATTTGAGAAAATATTGGGGAAATCTACTGGTTATTTGACTATGGAAGAATGTCATAAGGTGCTAGCAGTTGCTTGTGACTTGATAAAGCAGCATGTCCCGGCTATGATCATGCAGGCTGTTTTACAGTTATGTGCTCGCTTGACGAAAACTCATTCTCTAGCTTTACAGTTCCTTGAAAATGGAGGCTTGGCAGCTCTTTTTGGCCTTCCAAGAAGTTGTTTTTTCCCTGGATATGACACTGTTGCATCTGCTATAGTTCGCCATCTCCTTGAAGATCCGCAAACACTTCAAACAGCAATGGAATTGGAGATTCGCCAAGCCCTGAGTGGCAACAGGCATGGTGGGCGTAATTCTTCAAGGACATTTTTGACATCAATGGCACCTGTGATCTCAAGAGATCCTTTGGTTTTTATGAAAGCTGCTGCTGCAGTTTGTCAGTTGGAGACATCAGGAGGTAGGACCTTCGTTGTGTTACTGAAGGAAAAAGAGAAGGAAAAGGAAAAATCTAAAGTATCAGCTGTTGAGGCTGGATTATCTTCCAACGAATGTGTACGGATTCCTGAAAATAAGCTACATGATGGATCAGGTAAATGCTCAAAAAATCACAAAAAAATCCCTGCCAATCTCACTCAAGTGATAGATCAGCTTCTTGAAATAGTCTTGAAATACCATTTCCCAAAGAGCCAGGAGGACTGTGTGAATAACCTATCTGCTATGGAGGTTGATGAGCCTGCTATGAAGGTAAAGGGTAAATCAAAGGTTGATGAGACAAGGAAATTGGAGTCTGAATCTGAAAGATCTGCAGGGTTGGCCAAGGTGACCTTTGTTCTCAAGTTACTGAGTGATATTCTTCTGATGTATGTACATGCCGTTGGGGTTATACTTAAACGGGATTTGGAAATGACTCATTTGCGGGGATTTAATCAACTGGATGGTCCTGGACTTGGTGGTATACTTCACCATGTAATTCATCGGTTGCTTCCGCTCACCATAGATAAATCTGCTGGACCTGATGAATGGAGAGACAAGTTGTCTGAAAAAGCTTCTTGGTTTCTGGTAGTTCTGTGTGGTCGTTCCAGTGAAGGGCGCAGACGAGTAATTAATGAACTTGTTAAAGCTTTATCCTCATTTTCTAACTTGGATTCTAGTTCCACTAAGAGCATCTTATTGCCGGATAAAAGGGTTTATGCTTTTGTTGATTTGGTGTATTCTATTTTGTCAAAAAACTCATCATCCAGCAACTTACCTGGTTCCGGGTTTTCACCAGACATAGCGAAAAGCATGATAGATGGGGGAATGATTCAGTGTCTGACTGGTATCCTTCGTGTGATTGATTTGGACCATCCTGATGCTCCCAAAAGTGTGAATTTGATACTCAAGGCTTTAGAAAGCCTAACAAGGGCTGCTAATGCAAGTGAGCAATATTTTAAATCTGATGAGACGAACAAGAAAAAATCCACAGGATTAAATGGAAGATCTGATGATCAGGTAACTGCCGCATCAGGGGATAATACTGTGGGGCATAATCAGAATGTAAGCAGTGAGCAGGATGCGACAGATGCCGTACAGACCGAACAAGTGGGTCAAGGAGCTTCTCAAAGTGAAGGTAATCCTGATGCAAATCCAAACCAGTTGGTGGAACAGGACATGAGAATAGATGTTGAAGGACCACTAGCTTCTAATCCACCTATGGAGCTTGGGATGGATTTTATGCGTGAAGAGATGGATGGTAATGTATTACACAACACTGATCAAATTGATATGACTTTCCGTGTTGAGAATAGGGCAGATGATGATATGGGTGATGAAGATGATGACATGGGTGATGATGGTGAGGATGATGATGATGATGATGAGGGAGAGGATGAGGATGAGGATATAGCAGAAGATGGTGGTGGTATGATGTCTCTTGCTGATACTGACGTGGAAGACCATGATGATACTGGCTTGGGAGATGATTACAATGATGAGATGATAGATGAAGACGATGATGATTTTCATGAGAATCGTGTCATAGAGGTGAGATGGAGGGAAGCCCTTGATGCTGCTGACCCTTTTGAAGGGGTTAACGTGGATGACCTGTTTGGTCTACGAAGGCCATTAGGTTTTGATCGCCGCCGTCAGACGAGTAGGTCTTCCTTTGAGCGAACTGTTACAGAAGCAAATGGCTTTCAACATCCTCTGCTTTTAAGACCTTCCCAGTCTGGGGATTTGGTCTCAATGTGGTCAGCAGGTGGAAATTCATCCCGGGATTTAGAAGCCCTGTCATCAGGGAGCTTTGATGTAGCTCATTTCTACATGTTTGATGCTCCTGTTCTTCCATATGATCACGTACCAAGCAATCTTTTCGGTGACCGTTTGGGTGGTGCAGCACCCCCACCTTTGACTGATTATTCTGTAGGTATGGATTCATTGCAGTTATTAGGACGAAGAGGACCAGGTGATGGTCGATGGACTGATGATGGCCAGCCTCAAGCAGGTCCTCAAGCAGCTGCTATTGCACAGGCAGTGGAGCTGAATTAGGAAGTATTGCTCCTGCTGATATCCCGGCTAAACGACAATCCCAGCACTCCAGAGTGCAGGAGAAACAGCCAGATCACCCTCCTTTAAATGATAGTCAAGCAGCAGCAGAGAATGATGACAGCAGCCATCAACGAAATGAAGATCAACATCAAGACAGGGGTGGTGAAACAACACATCAAATTATCTCAAGTTCTGAGAGTGTTCCCTGCCAAGAACAAGTCAATCCAGAATCTGTTGGTTCCGAGGTACCTGAACCAATGTCAATTCAGCCACCTTCACTGAACAGTACACCAAATGATAGCATGGACACTGGTGATGGGAATGGTGCTGCTGGTGAGCAACTCGGGTCAGTTCCAGAGTTAGTTAGTGCTGATTTACAATGTGAAGGGGGTTCTGAAGTTCCTTCTAATGTACATGATGTTACAGTGGAGGCCGTGGGTTGTGATGGATCCTCAAGAACAGAGGGCCAGGTTGGTAATGTGTCGGCAAGTCTCGGCTTCGAAGCACCTAATCCAGGTGATTCTCATACTTCTTCGGTGCCAACAAATGTTGATGTTGATATGAATTGCATTGATGAAGTAAATCAAACGGGCCATCCCATGCCTGCTTTTGAAAATGGTACAGATGAGCCGTCAAGTCAAAACACATTGGTTGCTCCAGAAGCTAATCAGGCTGAACCAGTTAGTTTGAATAATGAGGCTCCTGGTGCTAATGCAATTGATCCGACCTTCCTGGAGGCTCTGCCTGAAGATTTGAGGGCTGAAGTTCTTGCTTCACAGCAAGCTCAGCCTGTTCAACCTCCATCTTATGCACCACCTTCTGTGGATGACATTGATCCTGAGTTTTTAGCTGCCCTTCCTCCAGATATCCAAGCAGAAGTTTTGGCGCAACAAAGAGCACAAAGGGTTGCACAGCAGGCTGAGGGACAACCAGTTGACATGGACAATGCTTCGATAATTGCTACT